ATCAGCGACTAACGCATGCTCCCCGGTAGTGACATCGATTGCTAGCAAGGCAACCGGGTCCGGCGGAGTGAGGAGAGACGTCGCCCCTCTCCTTGCGTAACTCAGTTTCCCGAGTTGGCTGGACGGGGTACGCGTGCYTKGCYSTTGTYBGGGCATTGTGCGGTAGTGTGTACTACACTGTTGCACCATAGGCAGTATGCGTACTTTTGATGAAGGTCATAGACCTCCTTGGTGATCTTATAAGCCGTCCATGGCTGCTGCCCAGCTCCCGTCGCCGCTGTCTCTTGTGTTGCCTTGTTCTTGCGAACTCTCTTCGGACGCTTCGGCGGGAGCGCGACGACCATTCCTCCATCACTCGAGGATGCTGCCGCAGCGTGGTGGTCGTCGATTTCCTCAGAAAACACGACATTGTTATGTGCCGGACGTTGATAGGCCTGTTTAGCCACATAATGCGGCTGGGATTTCCTCTCGTTAGCGACCTTGTCGTCCGTTTGGATGACTAAGTTCGTTCTATCCAGAATGGCCTGGAACGTAGTATAGTCGTACTCGTTGCCGAGTGCGGACCGCAATCCTGCGCACGATCTCGAGAAGAACTCGGATCGTTGATTAGGGAACGTCAAGTCGAAGCCTGGCGTGGTCACTATCTTCTGCCATTTTGATGCCCAGTCTCGCGTTGGCATGTTCCCTTGAGAGCATGTGTAGACCTCGTTCATGGCCATCTTCACGACGTTGCGGACCATGAATCTGGTGAACCATAGCTGCTCGAACTCCTTCCACGTAATGTGCGTGTGGAGTTCGGCGATAGTGCACTTGTGTGTAGCCGCTAGGTGGTTCATCCATCCCTGCGCTCCTCCAATCAGCTGCAGATATAGTGCCTTCAACATGTCGTCCGCCGGGACCATGCTGCATGATGCTTCTGTGAGGAAGCGTTGCCACCATGACAAGGCGTCCGACTTGTTGTAATCGTCGAACTTGCTGATGTCGAAGTGCGGCATCTTGAACGTCTTTGTAGCGGCTTCCGGTCTCGTCTATAGCTTGGTGATGTCCGTCTTGATGGCGGCCACCGTGCTGCTGATCGTGTCTGGTCCGTTGAAAGTACTTATGTCGCCGATGATGGTGACGACGTGATCGATGCGCTCGTTGAGTTGCTTCGTCACGTCTGTCGTGCAGCCTGGCGCTGCTGAGGCGTTAGCCTCTATGCTGTTGACGCGTGTGATAGTGGAATTCAACAGATGATGCTGTTGCTGCTGCTGCGTTGCCTCTGTGCGGATAACAGTTGTTAACGCAGTCATATCGTTCTTGTATGTTTGTCGCTGCGTCGCGTC